AAAGGATAAGATGGGATCCTTAGAGACCTCAAAGGGCTCTTACAATAGAGGAAAAAAGAAGCAAAGGAAAAATATACAAGATTAATTATTCATAATGAAGAAGAAATAGTCAAGTTGAATAAATGGATCTCTAAACTGGTAGAACAAACTTCAAAAACTAGTCAAAACACTCTAAGATTTTACATAGGACTAGTAAAATAAGACCTAATCCTAAAAATGATAGATCTGAAATGATATAAAAAAAGAATTGATAATAAAGCAAGAAGATGAATGTCAAAGATGCAAAGAAGAGTGTGTAATCAAATAAGGAAAAAGATTTGGAACAAAAGATGTGAGAAGATAATTGAATAGGAATATTTACAGGGATCTGTAGAATAGAAAAAATCAACTGACTCTCAGGCACACATAGCTTAAAACCATTAGTCCCCAAAAGTAAAGATTCTCTATTAGAGGAAGGAACCCAAGAAAATAAAAGTCTAAAAGAAATTTACTTAAAGGTGTTACTTATGGAATGAAGTGGTTGGGTTTTAAGCTTGATTAGAACAACAGATAGTGATTTGCAGTAGTAATCTGTGGACAATAATGTTAAGGATTAGAAGGTGTCGTGAACTAATCTGGTGAGTCTGTCGCTAATCTGTAGCACCTCGCATAACCCAGATATCTTACAAATACTCACAAAGAAGAGAATGCCCTCTATAAAGAATACTTAAGGAAGGCAGAGATGTGGTGATTGACTTGACTGAAGGTAAGTATCTCTTTATTATGTTCTGTTTCTTTGTAATATCACTAACTCTTATCTTTATTCTCAATGAGAACTATTTTTCCTAATACATTTAGCTTTGCCTTTTCAACATATATTGGTAAACTATTTATATATTTCTAACTAACAATGGGCTATCTACTCTATAATCAGCTATACTATTACTAAGCTTTGCTAAACTTTTCATACTTTTCAGATACATATAGTTCCCTTATTAGTACCCGAGCCTTATCTTATAGTTTCTTACCATGCGACACTTAATCTTTCATGCCAGACTTTCAGGTTTTTGGATTCTAAACTGTTGTGTATAAATCACATCACCTACGTGACCCATAACAAAGGATATTCACCTGAACCATTATGGAATAATAGATCACTTCCGAAGTTGCACTTAGAGTTTTGATATATTAAGATAAAATAGTGACGAGTGAGTTAGATAAAGTCTTAGCTTTAACAAATCATTTAAAATGTACAGTATATAAATGTTTAATAAAGCACACATACTTAGCCTAACCTAGGATTAAAAAAAAATAAAAATAAAAATAAACACATAGTACTGGCTTGATTATGGATTTAAAAAAAAACAATATCAGATTAATTAGTTAAAAAAATTTTTAAGGTTTTTGTTTCTTGTAAAAATGCTATTATTACTTTGAAAATGATATTAATGATGCGAAAAAACTTAATTTGAAAATTTTCTATTTACTTTTTTTTAAAAAAAAATCAATTGTATATAAAAAACTTTATAATTGAAAATAATAGTAGGAAACTATCTTAAAATTAAAGAAGAAATAATGCAATCAGAATCATTATCCTTTAGTTAATAAATAACAAATACAAACTATTGCTTATATTGATATAATAATAAACATTATTAAAAAAAAAATCTTGATGTTCATATTTTACAAAAACACACTAAAGAAACATAGACAGAATAGTTCTCTGGTGATGGAGGCAAAAGCCACAATGAGTAAAACATCTATCAGCTGGCTTTATTGATAATATACAGTATACTGTATATAGGTTAGTTGCATAAGAAAAGTTTGCTAAATAGCTTGCAAATACAAGTAATATAGATTGTATTTACGTTTAATAAAGTTGACCTGTTTCGTATCTAATATAAAAATAAAATTCACAAAAAAACAGTAAATGATTTTAAGTAGATCTTCATTAAAAAAAAAAAAAAAAATTTGTTTCGCATTTATGATGATGCATGATGGTTTGTTAATAATAATGATAAAATAATAAACCGTATTTCAAAATTCGAATTTACTGTATATTGACAAAATCGGAAAGTTCTTCAAAGAAAAAAACAGTTGTAATTGCTTACTATTTGATCCCTTTTCCTATTTTTCCGTACCATATGCAATTACACAGTATAATATCCAATAGGCAAATAAAATGGCATAGATATCAAGGATTACACCGAAAGTCATATGCGCGAATGCTAACATGCTTTACGACGATTAATACACAATGATTCATCAAGATGTGTAATACGGTAACGACAATCGTGATAATCAAAGCTAATACGAAAGGTCACGATCGGTTCACGAAGACGGTCAAGGAGGGAGGGCGTCAAACGAAGAATCGGGTCAGATCATACCCGTCTTCGTCATGATTGTGTAGATGAGCATTGTAAGTGTATTTACGCAAGGCATGATGGTTCTCGAATTACCAATTTTGAGTTCATTGTGCATGATGCTGTTAACTTAATGAGGGAGGCACATTCGTAAATAGAAATTGTAGGCGATACTTTAATTCATTCAAACAAATAACCTCCTCCCCTAACGCCATCGTCACCCAAGCACTTGATCTCGGCAAATGGCATTCAACCCGCGGATGTGAATTACACAATTTCTCTCGCATTCCATAGAAGTTGCAATCCCCACATTTCTTACTAATCAAGGTAGCATATAGATAGCACTGTGGCATTTGTAATCAGGAAACGCACAAGTACGTAAGTTCGGCGGCGTCATGTATAGTAAGTCATGAATGCATGCACAATTTGGGAATTATTAAATGTCAATAAATTGCCATATTGTGAAATCACCTTTATCAAAATCCCTTCCTTATCTCACGAGCACACGTTCCTCGGCCATACCCAATTTCGATCTAACCACTTTCGACACACTCAATAGAGGCCGAAGTCACACTCACCATACTCTTCTGCGCATTCAGTCAATGCACGATTCAGTGAGAACGAATATCGACAGTTCAAAGGGTCCAGACATTTGTCGATCGAATCGGGAGGAAAGAAGGTGGTTTGCGAAGTCCTTGGGTCATCGCGTTTTACAGCTTGTGATGATGTCGTGATGGTGACGTCCCTGGACTGGCTTTTCGGTAATTTGTAGCACCGACGTCTAAATCTAGATACGCATCAATTTAGAGGTCACATAATACCGGAAATGAACGAACGCCTCCAGGAATGGGATAGCGAGCTTCAGAATCTTTGTTTCCTTTTTTTTTCACAATCACGATACCGGTCCTGAAACCTGATTCAGCCTTACGTTCTGCGCGCGACTGTGCATCCAGTATCCTGATGCGTGCGTACGCATATATCAAGTCTTTCATTACCCAAATTCTTTCCCGCTACGATGCGTCATTCCTCGCCTCACACCCCTTCACATGCTTCGATCAATCGAACCAGCGAGATTCCGGTAACATTCAGGAAACCCTTCTTTTTTTATCAACCTCAGGAGGTAGCATTGTGCTCATCGCGTAGTGGAAATGAAGTCTTGCATTATCATACTGGTGTTGTACAGCATCCCCAGGTCAATGGTTGCTCGCCAAGTTTTTAAGAATTGCGCCACAAACCGTATGCTACGCACAATCATGACCTCGGCAATGTTTGTTGCTTTGCCGTGGTGCCACAACGAAAAAGATCATGATCACACAGTTTTTTAAAAAACAAGTCGCCCACAACACTCGATTGTGCAAGAGGGAAATCCGAAAGAAGCATGAAAAATAAAACTAAAAAAAAAAAAAAAAAAAAAAAAATGGAGAGGCAGATTATCACAATTGTCGGAAGATCTGCACTCTTATTTCATCTTGTACCTTCATCGTCTTCCTTTGTTCC